CGTATTTGTATGGACAAACATCTACTGGACACTGTTGATTTATCTATCTTCTTTTCTTCTTAGTTTTATATACTTGTGGATTTTGTGGAACCCTTTCATGAATATTGTCAATTTCATCATCTACTTCCAGTCCTTGATGTGCTCCGACTTCCTTAAATTTCGTTTCCTCGTAGTCTTCAATTGAATATTTTCCCAAAGAAGTTAATAAGCTGTTTTCGTTCGACTACTTTTTGAAATACTAGATTTCAGAATCCAATGCCTTTTTGTTGCGTTTCGGAAGGCTAGGGTGTAATTTTCAAAGCCAAACCCATTTTCCCAGTAGCCGAGGCATTTCCATTGTAACGGCCGATATTAGAAACTACCTGCTTTCACATTTAATTTCGTACACGGAAACCCGTCAAGACCGTACGGTGATTATCACGTCGAAATAAGTATAAATAACACTCGATGCATTGCACGGGCCCCACCGCGGCAAAAAAAAGACTTTCTAAGGCGGGGTATGTAGTCTATCGGATCCCATTAGAACATCGGTGGAACGATCTTGCATTGACGTGACGGGGAACACGTGAGTTCTACCGTTAAGCAACATCTCAACTTTTATAAAACTGCGTGGAATAATAAAGCATTTTAACCTTTCTCTCTCCCGGCGAACGAGTTAGATGGTTCTGATTTCACTTTCGCGTTGAATACGACGCATATATCGACGTAATCCTAATCCTAATCGCCTCCATTCAAAATCTGAAATGGGTGTCAATTTGAAAATATTGGTCAGTCTTTTACAGTCTATTAAGGAGATGATGTAATACATCTGTACATATAAGATTCGTTCTGCTATTAACAAAATTTGTATCTAATAGACGGCCCTAGTAAGAGAGGTCAATCACGCAAGGCAGATGAAGCTAGTGCAGGCAAATACCGGTAAAACAAATAATGGTACCCGGGTATACCGGTACAAAATACCATAAACAAACCTTAAATTAAAAGTTATGTAAAAAGTCTTTGTAGATCAGAAATTCGTCGGCTGCCCCTTCTGCCATTCATCTGAATATAATTAAAAACCTAATCAATTTCTCAAAATTTTTAACATAACCATACTTTTAGTGTAGTCACCACGAATCATTTTAAATTCAAAAGGGAATACGGCCCAACAGAAAAAAGGGGTAAGGAATCGAGTATAGCTAGCTGATTGGTTGAATTAAATGTAGAGCGTTACAGTCGAAGCATAAGCCCGCACTAGCTCTATCTCTCTCGCACACGTCTGTGCCATTGCCGTTTATATGGGCAAAATGACAGTTGGGCGAATTCAATAGTTTATAAGGTCTATGGAAGTGACCGAACAGAAAAAGGGGTAAGGAATCGAGTATAGCTAGCCGATTGGTTGAATTAAATGTAGTGCGTTACAGTCGAAGCATAAGCCCGTACTAGCTCTATCTCTCTCGCACACGTCTGTGCCATTGCCGTTTATATGGGCAAAATGACAGTTGGGCGAATCCAATAGTTTATAAGGTCTATGGAAGTGACCGTATGTTTGTGTACAAAATCAGCATCAAACGAAGAGGTAAGAGTTTTGTATTAAACTAGGTAAAACTTTTACTGAAACATTTCAATTGATGAACCAAGTTTATGGCATAGTTCATGGCGGTATACGCGGTTTAAAAACGGTCGTGATGACATAAATGACGAACAGCATGTTGGCCAACCGAAATCCGTGATCACCGCAGATTCCATCTAAACCGTTCGTGAATTCGTCATCATTCAAGATGAGCCAAATAAATAGGTTTTGCCAAAAAAAACCTTGTATAAGTTCACTGTAACAGTATACAAAATTTTGGACGGTCACATTGACAGATAACTGGGGCCCGGATAGAAATACACAACTATAAAATACTCTATAGTCTGTTTAGAAATGAAAGAAAGTAATAAAAGCTTATTATGTATGCACATCGTAAATAAATGTAGTACTGGTGCTTATATTCAATATTTTTATATTATGTATTTTCCGTATAGATGAGGTGTACTTTTAAAAAAACTTTGTGCGATCGGACTGTACTAAATTGTAGCAGGTAGCTAAAATTTAATCCCCGACAATCCGTCTTTGTCTATGCCGCTTCAATTTCTCGGTCCATTTCTCTTATAAGTAAACAATATAAAAACAGCATTTCAAAACATGAGGCTACTTTAAGCATCATAACCGGGTTAAGAGGGTTTTTAGTAATTCAAATAAAATTATTCAATATTATTATCAAAATATTTATTTAAATTTAATGAATAGACTTTTATTCCACACAAAAATATATGTATTTTGAAAATTCAAATTATGGTGAGTAAATGTAGTGTTGTATAAATGTACAATAAAGAAAATAAAAAAGTAGGTATATTAAAATTCATCCTCTGAATATTCTGATGAATTATCTTCGTCTCCTAGATTGATAACGATAGGTTCCACAGTAACGTCAATTAAATTATCGAGTTCCCACATTTTCTCCTCTTCTTTTTGTACATGATGTATACATCTTTGCCAGTTATCTGCAGTTACTCGTTCCAAGGAATTTTTTAACAAAATTTTCACGTCACTTAATTTAAACGTCGTATTATTTCGCGCTACATCTCCTTTTACCTGCGCCCAGACTAATTCGATTGGGTTAAGTTCACAGTGATAAGGTGGTAACCGTAGTACCGTTATTTGGCGATTTGTTGCCATTTCATCGATAACATATTTTTTCTGATCTTTATTAAGATTGACAAGTGTCAAAAGTTCCTTTTTCACCATATTTGTTTCAAAAGAAATGTTTTTTCCGGATAACCATTGAATTATATCGGCTTTCCTCCAAGCAGTCGTAGGCGTCCGCTCGGTCTGCCGTGAATGGTAACTGGCATTATCCATGACAATTACAGACCCCGGAGGAATAAGATCCAACATCTGTGTAAAATACTCTTCGAAAACATCTGCGTTCATGTCTTCGTGATAGTCACCTGTATTTTTAGATTCAAATAAAAGTAAACCGCCATCTACAAAACCACTGGCACTACCTATATGTGTCACTATTAATCTTCGCCCTTTACCTGAAGGTGCCTTGAACCCTGTTGAAAGTCCATCCAAAAATGCTTGTCGAAAACTTTTTACATTTTTATCTTGCCATACTTTTGTTACAGTATATCCCTCGTTGACCCAAGTTTCGTCTAGATAATAAATATTCCTCCCTTCGTCACGGAATTTTCTAATTGATCTTAAGTAGGATCTTCGCCAACAAATAATTTCATCTTTATCGATAAGAACTGACTTCCTGTTCTGCTTTTCCCAGCAAAAATTCAACTCTCGTAAGACGGCCCATAATTTGCTTCTACTAATTTTCGGCAAATCGTTGTCCTCTGAAAGTTTACTTAAAATTTTGTTTAGCGTTGGTATTCCTTTTTTAAAATAAAATGAGTGTACTTTTCTGCGAATGACATTTTTGAAGAAATCATCTATAACGACTTTTGACCTCCCTGTAGATGATTTTGGGGGATTTGCATTATCTTGTTCATTTTTTGTTTTCTTTAAAAGTCTAGATAGTCGATTTTCCAATCCCTCTCATTTTGGAACACTTTTCCACGATGTCGTCAACACTGTTGGTAGGATTTTGGTGTTTCAATGCATTAAATACATTTAATATAATAATCTTCTCATTCCGAGACAGCGCACATCTTTTCACGCGTTTAGCAGGTACGTAATTTTACTCTACTGCACTAGCACTTCTTCGTATATTCAGCTCTAAGACTGGATTGATCTGTCACAATACATCGGCCCCTGCCCTATGATGTATCCAGTAAAATATACTAATGTACACCCATTACCTGTTAGCATTAGTGTTACCCGATAATTACCTGAAACGAAATATTACCACGCCCATGGCCGGTTCTTATCTCGGGGTTTTATTACTCTTTCATTTCCAAACAGAGTATAGATAGCGGACATTGATTCCAATTCACTTTTAATGCGCCTAAGGCGCTCAAAATGTGTGCTGCTTTCCATAAATGATGATACGTAACAAATCAAACTTTAAAGACACAACACCCAATCAGATTGCACACACCTATTGTGTACTGAACTAAGTAGACTATATGAAAATAAATCGCAAAAATGCCTTCGAAATTATCAACATAATTTTTAGGACAAAGACTATTAACAATAATTTATCGGGCTCCATTAAACCGCTTACGGATTGCATCTCTTTTTGTGGCATTACCTTATGCATAACGAACCGAAGTATATCTCCACCTGCACTAATTATACATGCATGGAGCCGTGGTTTTATGTGATATTTAAATTTATTGGACGGCTACAACAACACCGAAAACCTGTTTGTGTGTTATTTAGCCTTAGTAGAAGTCCGAATTAACATTGTCGGCATTAAATCAGTCTCTTTTTATGGTAATTGGAGGCATCTGATTAGTTATTTAGTTTTCGTTGGTCCAGCATTTCGATATTTTGTTACTGTTTCTCTTTGGTGTATAATTGGAGTACACTTAGGATTTATTTGTTATAATCAATTGTCTCATACCTTAACAGTTCTCATTCTCAATACTTTTTCCTAATAAGTGTCGTTTGGTAAATGACTTTCGGACTCCTTTGAATTACGTAACAATTCAATAAAACTCTAATGTTTTGCTTTTATGTAAAAACCAGAAAAAAATATAGTAGATCCTGTTTCATCGCCTGAAATATACAAACTTAACTGTTTACGACTTATTTTTATAAACAGTTCCACATTTATTGGACGAAGGTGGAACTTAATTATTCAAAGGTACCGTTACGTAAATTCTTACGTGTATTTTTTTTAATCAGAGTAGCCGCTAAGAACAGAGTTTTTATAGAATCACGTGTACGTTACGAGAAAACTGATCGACACATGAATACTACGTCAAGAATACTTCACTGAAATGAATAAAATAATTCGATAAAAAGAATTATATCGTTGAGTACTTTATACAGACTAACACTTGTTCTTTTTTATTTGCAGGAGCTATCATTTCCTTCGTTGCACCATGCCGTGGGCAGTACGTCCTTCTCGTTCGCCATGTCGAGCACGGCGGACATGGAGGGCCAGGGGGGCAGTTTCGAGTGCATCAAACAGGTAGGGTCGCCGCGGGGCCCCCTCGAAGGTCTCGGTTCCATTCCCTACAAGATCCGCATCCACGCCAATGACGACGTATACGAGGTTACCCGCAACCGCATGACTGAAGCCGAAGACAAATACAAAAACAAATGGTGAGTGTCGCCGAACACAAATAAATACGTCTCTATCCTTTGGCAAATGAAGATATGTATTTTTGTAATTTTCGAAATTACTAGATCGAATGTGGATGCCATTAGGGGTGCACTTTGTTGTAGTTGTTACGATGTCAATTGGAACCTATAAATCTTAAAACCCTATGTACTTCTCCTGAAATTTCTGATGTGTCTCGTAACTTATACGCGAATAGCAATTCGGCGAGTCCGGTATTGGTAAACTAGTCCGCCAGATGTAGAATTGACGGCGGTGCGCTGGTCATCAAAGCAAACCTGTATTGGTCCACTAGGTCGTAAATAATTTTTTTGTACGGTACACGGGTTGACTTAGCTTTGCCAGTGCCGTGCAGAGCATTGCTTGGCGGGGTATTTTCTTGGTATAGTACTTATTATTATTTATTAGTTGATATTATTATTTGTTCATATCGTAACCAGTAAAGGGTAAGTTATTAAAATAAATGTTATATGTAATTATCTAGTAATTTAGCGTGGCTCTCTGGAGACTCTTTGAAGAGGAGGATAACGAAATAACTCGGGAAAATCCCCAAATAGTGGAACCGGTTTTTGTCGAAAGTATCGAAAC